CATGAAGGGGAGGCTGCACAAGGCAGCAGCTCACTCAGAGAGGACCAAAGGAGCTCCAGCTTCATGTGGTTGTGCCCTTGCTGCCATTGAATAGTTCAGATGAAATCAGTGCTCTGCTAAAGATGTGTCCTGAAACTTTGTGTGCGTGTGAGAGAGAGAGGGAAAACTATCTAAAATCATATGGAGCTGTGAAATTTTTGGAGAGTACCTGAAATTAAAACCTTTTTGTGCCAGGGATCATTTCTTTGTTAGAAGCCAAAGCACTACTGTATGGCTAAAGCAAGGAAATTGCTGGGGAGGAAGGGCAGGTTTTCCCCTTTACCTTCTTAGTCGGTATTACTTTAGAAGAACATTTAGGAAAACACTAAAGAGGTAATTCAAGTTAGTGGTGGTTTTCTTTCCAGAAAGTAAAAGGTACCTTCAGCATTTCTTTTTTAGACTATTTTGAAAGGGTATGGGAGATGCTCTGAATCCTAAAATTGTAGAGTCCATTCTCATTTTTTACTATTTTTGAGATAACTCTCCCTATTTGAATGTGCAGAATCAGACTTGGCAACCAATTTGGCATTGTTTACATAAGCCAAATCCTTTCAAGTTCCATTGGAATAACAGTGAGTACAGGAAGTAGGTTTTCAAAAACTGATATTTACATGATTCTTATATACTCAGATATTTTTTCTCTGATATTGTTTAATTCTCTCCTAAATTGTTATGAAAGATAAAATTTGACCAATGTGCAAAGTACACCAGTGTTTCTTATCACAGTCTGAACTGGTTGTTACAGTTAACTCTCAAATAATGTCATGCCTTGAGATTTCATTAACTAAAAACATATTTTAATCTAACTTGGAGATTATTTTTTCTAAGCTGTTTTCAACCCATTTCTCTTGCTGTTTTGTTTCACTTCACTACATCACTACATTCAAAGTGGAAATAGAAAAGCTAAGAATGAGAAATGTGTACTTGAAGTATCTCACTATGAAAATAGTGAGAAAATAATTTCAGTGGTTACTTTTAGATATTATATTTAAGCAATGTTTGCCATGCAAAATAACTTTCTATTTTGCAAGTGCTACAGTGTTATGGTAGCTTGGTTGAATCACTGTTGCATCAAATTCAATATACAGTAAGATGCCAAAAGCAGTGAAGCAGATGAGGAACTGGTTTTGCTAGCAAGATGCCTCTTATTTCCATGATTGGAGAGCAGACAGTATTTGAATAATATTCCAATAGGGGTTGTAAACAGCTTGGGAGTAGGTGGCATAAATTCACCTTCTGAGTAAAGTATTGAAATCTAAGGGTCAAACAGAAGAACTCTTTCTAAGAAGCTAGTCTGGCTTTCCTTTTATTCTTGCTAAAGTAATTATTTGCATCACTACTGCAGCTGTACAAAACAAGAAATGTACACAGGAAGGCCCCACAGCACACAGTGATCCTGGCTCTAAGGGAGACATCATCCATTAATTACTGCAAGGCTTCCACGTACACAGTGATTACAAGGGACTTCTAAGAAATCAATAACGGAGTGCAAGCCAGTCATACCAACTACTTTCTGTAGTATTTGCTTTAAAAATACATTTGGTGTTGAAATTGGTGGAAACTTTCCTAGGAGTGGCCAAGAGGCAGCCAAGGCTTAACACCAGTGAGCAACAGCTTGTGCATTGGATCTGTGGGACCAATATTGGGGAGAACAGTTCCAGCTAGGAAAGACTTCAATCTGTAGTCTTTCTACCTGAGCCAAACATTTCATCCATAGTCACCTAATTTCCCCACCCATTTCCTTTTGCTTATGCCAGTAATAACTTTTGCATTACTGTAAAACTTTTTTTAGGAGTTTGTAAATATGTAAAATGAAAATACGGAAAAATTGTATACCAAAATGGTATAAAAATGTGTAAGATAAATGCTCTGTTTAATGAGAAGCTGTAATTAAATGCTGCTTTGAGAAGGTGTGCATGAAGACATGTTAAATATTCTGTGTATCTGTAAGTTGTGCTAATAACAGCAAATTATCCATTTATGTTGTAAAACTTCATGCTAATGTGGAATATGAAGGAAAACTGAATATTTTACTTCAAGGAAGTTTCTTGGAAGACTTTATGTGCATAATCATTGTTAAATATGTTCATAATAAAGTTTTATATCTTTATATTGTATCCTAGGTTTATTTTCCTTCTACTGAATTTTAGTTTCCTTCTCATAAACTGTTTTCATGACTTATACATATTTTCAGTTTATATGCATTTTAATGCATATTTAAGCTTGGATAATTGCATAATGATGGGATCCAAGAAGCTGTGTATTGCATATGTTTTTTGGTGTTTTTTTTGGGGGGGGGTGGCAGTTTATTACCTTGTCCAGAGTTGAAGGTGGAAGGACAGGTTGCTAAGTCTTTTTAATACACCAGCCAGGTTACATAAGGGACCTAGCATTTCCAAATGGCTTCACAGCGGCTTTGCAAAGCCTGCTGTGGCCATGCTGGCAGTGAGAATTCTCCTGGTGGATGTTAATAGCAGTAATAAAAAACAGGTTTAGAGAGTGAAGATGCTGATGTCATTCATCAACTTCTTACAGCTCTGTCTTCCAGAAATCTGCTCATAGCACATCACCTGCTGTTCAGGGTGATGCCATTTCTTGTATCAACTCGAGGGGAGACTGAAATCTGTGCTGAACAAAATGGCCACAAACTTCCCTCTGTAAATGGATATGCAGCTTACTCCTGGCTGTAGTATCAGAGAGGGTGATGCTCTTCTAGCAGCAGCAGTTAATCCTGGAGCCATTTCCTTAGGGTTTAGTTAACACAGGTCAGACTCCTCTGTGGCAGCAACAGTAAAAGGCTTTCCTCCTCCTCCTCCCCTGCAGACTGGCACTGCCATGCCCCCCATTTCTGTAGCTGTAATCATATGAAGAGCCACAGCAATAAGCAAGTGACAGCAGAGACTGACTGTATAATTACCTTGAATGCTCCATCCACAGTTTGGGTTTATTTTTTTTAAGGCAAATTAATTACCTAGAGCCAGGACTCTGCCAGTTTATCACCCAAATGCTTTACTTTGGCTGGAAAAAGTGCTTAAAACTAAGGAAATGAAAATTTAAAAATCAGTTACTGCAGAACACCAAAACACACAATTTTAAAGAAGAGCACTGTTTGAATCATGGGAGTGGAAACCAACACCCAAAAGTCCACAGCCTCTAACCCCCTTCCTGTAGTCCTGGAACTTACATTGGAAGTACTGATTATTGCTCACATTTAAAACCATCTATAAAACTGTATCTGCCTTTTTGTAATGCAGCTCCTGTTTTAATGCAACAGGGGTTTCTCCTCCCATGCAGCCTTTACACTGACAGGCATCTCAAACATTTGTTGGGGTTTTTTTGCAGCACAGCATACGCATGAACCAAAAAACACCAAAAGCTCAAGGGACTTGCTATTCTTAACATGAACAAAGGAGAAGGAATGTCTGGATGACCAAGAAGCAAATAAAAACTCAAAGTGCACAAAACTGTTTATTTTAAGTGTAAAGAAATAGTTCAGTAAGTACTACACTGCCAGCATCATTCTGGCATGATGGAAAGGAGAAAAAGCATCTAAGCATCCAGATGAAAAACTTCCTTAGCAACTCAAGAGAGCAAAGATTTATTCTTTTCATAACAAGTTTCTCTCTGACCCTGATGACTGTTTTAGGCATGTTATTCAATCTGCTTTTAATATTTTCTTTTTACAGGTGTTGTATAATTTCTGACTGAAGACTGGATCTGTACTAAAGCTCTCTTACAGCAATGTAAGGGATGTGCTCCTCAGGCTGAGGTATATACAAACACAGGTGTGTACAGCCTGTAGCACTCACCAGACATATGTGAATAGAATTAAGTGGCTTGTCATGAAGGAGATGCTTTTACAAAGCTGTCAGCAGAATGGAATGTCAGCAGAAATACAGAAGCCTTACAGCTCTATTAGAAGTCTCATGCACCAAGCTGCTGATACATACACCTGCTTTTCTCTTCTGACAGCAGATATGGATTGGGAGGAAGAGGGTCAAAACCTTGCCTAGCACAGGGCTTTCCACAGTCTGACTACACTGAGCAGAGTTAGCACAGAGCACATAACACTATGGCAAACAAATCCTCTCCTGCCATTTGAATTTGAAGCATTACATCTCTCTAGACTGTGGAATCACTGCTGTATTAGCAATCATCTCTCTCTTAAACAGCTCTAGCTGAGAGCCAGATTCTGAACTCATTAGACAGAGCTTCCTACAAAGAAGCAAATCACAGATTGCTCAAACTGACTCCAGCCCAGGGATGCTCTCCTACATGGCTCTGTAACTCTTTCAGCTTCATTAGCAGTGAGCTACTGCTTGCAGAAGCAGCACAGCTGTTGGTACAGGTTTTCTAAGTTCACAGTATGCTCCCATTTCTTTAATTAGCTGACAAAACATTACCCAAGCCTATGCTGAACACTTATTTACTTGTTATTCTTCTGCAACTTTACTCTAGAAGGAAGGAGACTGACTTACTCACATGTTATTTAGTCACATCGCCTCAAGGCAGCTTTTTCCCATTTCAGAAAGGATCACATTTCATCAGCTACCAGAACTCATCACCCTCACTATCAGCAAAATTAACATGGCCTGTAGCAAGTCAGTTCAAAACCTACTTAACACATGTAACTGACTGCAGAAGTGAATGATTACCCAGGTACAGCTTGCTGAGCACTTCCAGAATGTGAAAAAATTTCTTACCTGTCTTTGTTCAATGAAGGTAGTTCTTGTTCCATGCTCTAAATACCATACAAAAACATTAAACAGGTCCCAAAAATGCCAAGTTACTTTTTGATAAACATAATCTAATTTTCTTGCAAATTTGTAGTGACTTTGGCAAAATTATGAAAGTGCTTTGCACTGCAGTATTTACCTTGACTACCTTGAAGAGAATTGAAAAAACTGAAACCTTTTCCCCCAATAACAAAGGATCTAAGTTTAAATGAATCACACCAATGGTTATGAATTTCAATAATTTAATGCTAACCAAAAGTACAAAGTTGAAAGTCAGTGTCTCATTTATATTGGTCTAAGAAAAGAAATGTAGAGAAAGTGTTTATACTGCAGCAGATTTCAGTATTAGCACCTTGAAGAGAAGTTTTTAAGTGATAAAAAAGTATAGAAAACACTGGTATGGTACTAGGTACAAACATAAAACAGGTAACAGCATGTTTTCAAATTTCTACCTTTGAAGAAAAGTTACTAAAAAATGCCTTAAAAACAATTTCAGGTATTCACAGTTTGAGTGGAGATGGAATCAAGTGCTGGAATAGAAAAGAGGAGAATGAACAAGGCAATTATAATGCAAGTCCAAAGGCACTGACAATACAGTACATGGTCTTATTCTCCCATCTCACAGTGCAGGTTCCTGCAAATACAAAAATAAGGGTTTCAGAAACAGAAGGAAGTTGAAGTGATTACATGCATGCCCCTATTTGCATTTTTATACTTGTTTCCTTTAAGAATCTTAATAATGAAGCTTTCACAGCAGGTAAGCATTTCACCTACAGCCCAGTTAGCATCACAGCCAAATGGAAAAAGTACCCAACAGGATGCTATTAC